GGGCACACCTGACGCCTCAGACTACAAGCTGGATGTTAAACAAACCCTGAGAGACAGGGGAATGTTCTTTTATTTGCGCACCAATGACTCAGCTGTGATAACTCCCCTTCGGAAAGGCATTAACACCTTCACCCCCAGCCTGAGGGGTCATCTCTGCTAATGGGCCACCTTGGACTGGCATAATAGGCAGCTGCAACACCCAGACCATCAAAGACTCCAAAAATATCCCATGACTCACAGAGTTAAATCACCCATTGTGAAGCTCCCTGCCCTGGTGGAGGTACTGGGCATTCCCACCTGAACTTGAGCATATATAAACTTCGGGTTTTGGGACTTCTAGTACCACTCACCAGATCCAGAGGAGGACCAGAACTTGGACAGAACTGCGATCATCATCCGGACCAACAGGTTTTCTTTTACTTTGCACCCAGGGGGGCCGCGTGGTGCTCAGCACAGGGGTTGACAAACACCGTTCTGTTCTTGTCCCAGGGTGTGGGGTTATACATCTGCTTTTGTGGGTTAAAACCAGTTTTTCTCTCTATTGTTGTATTTATTGTAATCTTTTTAGTAAATTATAACTCTGATTTGTAATCTCTCTTGAGTTGCGTTCATTTCTCATGCCAGTTTACTTTTAAACCAGCATAGTGCTCCACTGCAACATAGGCAGGTATGAACACCTGTGCTTGGGGTGCATACACATGCACGTCGTGTGTGTGTGTGTGCCTAGAGGGAATGGGGAACCAGGTGATACGTTTTGCCCTCAGCTTGTACTTGCCAGCACCCAGGGAAGGCTGGAGCTTGAGGAGGAGGAGAATCCTGGTGAAGTATGGAGTGAGGTAGAGGAGGATCCTGGTAGGAGAGGACAAGGTCCCTGGGTCCCTGCGGGGTTGACTCACAAGCATCAAGGGAGTTGTGGTGGAGGTGGCTCCTACCATCACGGAAGCAATGTGATCAATAGTGACAACTGGGTCAGGATCAAGGAGAGCCAATGTTGCTCCTGGCTTCTGAAGGGGTGTAAAGGGGGATCCAGGGACCCAAGACTGATCTGCCTCACCTCCATTCTGGGAAGGTGACAGAGCAGCAAGTCCTGGAAACCATTGCTGGACACATGAACAACAACTCGTTGAGGGAGTCAGATTGGCTTGACCAAGGGGAGGTTCTGCTTGGCCACCTGATCCCCTCCCGTGATAGAGCAAGTAGCCAGCAGACACAGACAGCAGGGGACAGTGTCCACCTGCACTGCAGGGAGGCCTTGGGCACTGCCTCCCATCTAGTCCTCCTAGGGAAGCTGTTGGTGTACAGACTGGATAAGTAGAGGTCGAGGCAGGAAGGCTGGATCCAGGGGTGGTGGTGAGCGATGCACAGTCTCATGGGAGGCTGGTCGCTCACAGAGTCCCCAGGGGTCTGTGCTGGGCCCCGGCCTGTTTAACATCCTCATCCCCTGGATGATGGGACAGCAAATGTGCAGGTGACAGTAAACCATGAGGAGTGGCTAACAAACCAGGGGGTCGTGTGTCCATCCAGAGGGACCTGGAGAGGCTGGAGAAGTGGGCCGGCAGGAATCTCCTGAGGTTCAACCAGGGAACGTAAAGAGTTCTGCCCCTGGGGAGGAACAACCCCAGCACCGGGATATGCTGCGGGCCACCCAACTGGAAGGCAGCTCTGCAGCAGGGGGGCTGGGGGACACCACATTGACCATAAGCTTAGCGTGTCCTCAGGGCAAAGCAGGTGAATGATATCCTGGGCTGCATCAAGGTGTTTGTCAGCAGGTCACAGGAGGTCACAGAGGTGACTGTGAAACCACCCCTGGAGTGCTCTGTCCAGTGTAGGGCTCTGAAGAGCAAGTCCAAGAGACATGGACTTGCTGGAGGGAGCCCAGTGAGGAGCCCCAAGGAGGATGGGCTTGAGTATCTTTAATACAAGGAGAAGCTGCGAGTGCTGCGACTGTACATCCTGGAGCACAGGAAGCTCAGGCATATCTCATCCATGTATGTAAATATCCAAAGGAAAGCACAGAGGATGAAGCCTGGCTCTTCCCAGTGATGCCCAGTTGCAGCACCAGAGGCCATGGGCACAAACTGGAATACAGGAGTGTCCCTCTGCACACCAGGAAACACTTTTTTCCTGGCCCAGGTTGCCTAGAGACCTGTGGAGTCTCCATCCTTGGACATTCGCAAAAGGGACCTGGACACTGTCCTGGGCCCCTGGCTCCAGGTGGCCCTGCCTGAGCAGGGTGTGGGACCAGAGAGACCCCAGAGCTGCCTCCGGCCTCAGCCAGTCCAAGACCCCAGGACCTGTGTCCAGCACGTGCCTGTGTTGAGGGTGTTTGTGTGCAGTTGCAGTGTGGAGAGTGTGTGTGGGGTGGGTGTGTGCATGCAGGGGTACATGATGGCTTGCACATGCAGAGTTGCATGTGCCTCATTTATGTGTGTCCATACAGCTGAGTGTATACATATATAATGGTGTGTGCACACACCATTGCACATGTGACTGCCGGTGCTGGTGTGTCTCTGTGCACTGCCGTGTGTGCTGATGTGTCCAGACATAGGCACAGCTGGGAGTGGCTGGAGGGAAGGTAGGAATGTGTGTGCGTCTGTGTATATCTGTGTGCTTCTGTGCAGACTGCGTATAGCTGTGCAGAGCTGTGTGAGCGCGCACAGCTGTGAGTGCCCGCACGCCCCCTGCCCGGGGTGTCTCAGGGTGTTTCAGTGTGTGCTGTGGGTGTGCGCGCGCACTCCCGGGTCTCTCGGTGTTTCAGTGTGCGCCGTGCGCGTGCGCGGTGTGCGCGTGCACGGGTGTCTGTGGTGGTTGTGCGCGCGCGCATCTGTGTGCGCGTGTGCACGGTGCGCGCGCGCCGCCGCGCAGGCTCAGTGCCGTGCGCGCGCCCGGGCCGGGCGGACGTGGCGGCGGCGAGGGCGATGCGGGCGGTGCCGCCGGGGCCGGGGCTGTGGGTGCTGCTGGCGGCGGCGCTGGCGGCGGGGCGCTGCTCGGAGCTCCCCCAGCTCCGCGGGGCCGCGCTGCGGGACCTGGCCCGGGGCAAGGTGGAGGTGAGCGCGGGCAGGGCGCGCGGGGAGGGCCGGAGGTGAGCCGGTGCCCGTCGGGTGCCTGACAGGGTGTCCCTTCCCTCAGACCTGCGGCGGCTGACGGCTGAACCGCCTCAGGGAGGTACGTAGCGGGGCCGGGGGGCGCGGGCAGCCGGGGCCGCCCCGCGCTGAGCCGGGCCGGGCCGGGCCGGGCCGGCCGCTCTCCGCAGGTGAAGGCGTTCGTCACCCAGGACATCCCGCTCTAGTACCCGGCGGCGGCGGCGGCGGCGGCAGCGCTGGGGCCCTGCAGGAGTGCACAGGATGGGATGGGACGGGATGGGACAGGGGCGGGACAGTACGCGAGGGGACAGGATGTGAAGGGATGGGATGGAAGATGGGACGGGCTGAGGGAAGGATCAGATGGAGGATGGGGCTGGATGAAGAGTGGAGGACAGGATGGTTGGGGGATGGGATGGGTCAGGGCAGGATAGGAGGATATGGAGGATGGGGTGATATGACACGTAGGACAGAAAGGGATGGGATACAATGAAGGATGGAATGGGAGAAAATGCGATGTGACAGAAGGGATGGAGGACAGTATAGAATGGGCAGAAGTGGGATGTGATAGAGGATGGAATGGGATGTGATGGGACAGGGACTGCATGGTCCTGCCCAGTGCTGTCTGCTCCTTGACACATCATCCAGCCATAACCTGGAGATGAAACACCTGCCCGGTGCTGACCCCGAGCTCGTGCTCCTCAGCCACCGGTACGAGGAGCTGGAGGTGAGTGGGCAGCGTGGCACCCACTGCTACAGGGCCTGGGGTGGTCAGTGCTCTGTGGATGCCAGGCTGCAGCCCCTGTCTGGGCGCAGAGAATCCCCCTGAGTGACATGACCCGGGAGGAGATCAACCGGCTGGTGCAGGAGCTGGGCTTCTACCGCAAGGAGACGCCTGATGCCCCCGTGCCCGAGGAGTTCCAGTTTGCCCCTGCCAAGCCTCTGCCCACACTGCCACCCCCCCAAGCATCCACCACTGGCATCAAGACCCCACTCAAACGTGACAAGGGAGAACACCCAGACCTCTAGTGAGGAGTGCTGCACTTGGGACAGGGTCCTGCAGCCAGTCCACAGCACAGGGAACAAGGGTGTTACAGCAGCTGGGGATAGTGCTGTGGAGTGGCAGAGCTGCCCCCCTGCTCTTGCTCAGTGCTGCGTAGCCTCTGCCCCAAGGATGCCCTGGGTAGCTCAAACTTTGAGCAGGGGCTTCCTGGGCACTGTGGGCATCCCAAGGGTCCCATGTGGTTGTCTTCCCATGCCTGAAGCCCGTTATCCCTGGCCAGTTGGGAGGAGCAGCATCCCTTGCACTCCCTTGCTGTGCCCAGAGGTTTAGCTGCTCCCGGCAACTGGGCAGCAGTATCCTACCTGCATGGGACAGGATGAAACCCTCAGCAGAAAGCGACAGGTGCTAAGGGTAGATGTGCTGAGTCCCAAAGGTGGGAGAGCTGCCCCAGGGAGAGGGCTTTACCCCCCAGTAGGGTTATCTTGTATCCAGCACCTAGTAAAGCCTTTATATACAGTTGGCTGCACTGTGTCATCTTTTCAGGGCAGGCTTGGTGCATCCTGCACTGCTCTGTGCCAAGGGGAGCTGGGTGCCCCAGAGCTGCTCAGAGGCAGGAGAGGATGGCAGGATTACAGCCACTGCTGGTGAGCCACAAACCAACCTGTGAATGAACTGTGCTGTTCCTGTGCCACCCCCCCACCCCAGCACAATGGAGGGATGAAGGTGGGCACCACGGCTTGGGAAGAGCTGCTCTCACAGGGCACAGGGGGATGGGCACGTGCCCATGAGCTGGTCCTGCAGTGTTGAGCTGTAGCCCCATGGCTGTGCTAGCCCAGTGGGGACATCTGGTCCTGAGCCAGGGAAGGAAGCAGGGCACAGCCAGGCCTGAGGGTGATGGGGGGCAGGGGAGGCGCACAGCAAACCAACAGCACTGGTCAGGGTGGGGCACTGAAGGTGCCCCTCAGCTCCAGACATTATCAATGAGTGGAGGAGTACCCTGTGTCCCTCCAGGCTGGGCAAGCAGTGGGGCTGCAGGCAGAGAGGCCAAGAGTGGCCAGACTGCCAGTGCTCCTCAGGCACTGTAGTACGCGCTGTGCCACTGGTACAAGGACCTGAAACGGAGGCATCACCCTAGGTAAACCTTTATTATCTGGCTGGTGTTGGTACACGTGTCGTTACAGGTGTAGAGACGTGACGGAGGGGCGAGCGGCGCTGAGCGCGTGGTGCCCTGAGCAGGAGAGGGGAGAAGGGGCTGCCATCCTGGCTGGCTCCTTCAGCCTCGTGCTCCCCTGGGACCTCTCACCCCTGCCCGCTCCCCAGCCCACAGGTGCTGCAGCCCCTAGTGCGGAAGTGCCCCAGGTGCACGTGAAGGTGGGAAGCAGGGTGTCGGCACAGCTGTGGAGCTGTCCCCAGGGAGGTGACACCAAGCAGGGCCTGCGGTGGGCAGAGGGGCTTCCTCACAGGGAGCCATGGGAACCACTGACAGATGCTGCCTGTGGGATGCCTGGCTGGGCTACACGGTCCTGCTCAGCCACTGACCCACACTGTGCCCCAGGCCTGAGGGCGCAGCTGTGCCACCCAGGGACACAGGAGTGCTGCCCGCAGGGTACACAATTCCTGGAGAACAAATAACTTAACAGGCTGGAGCGCAGGGGGCAAGCCAAGCCAGGAGCATCCCCAGCAGTGCCTGCCTGGCCCTGCTCATGGGGTCAGCCCGCAGCTGGCCGGGGCAGAGGCAGCTCTGGCAAGGCAGAGGCAGGGGACTGCCTGGGTGTCAGAGTTCCCCCTGTCCTCAGTGCCAGACCTGTGGCCCTGCCAGACCCTCCTGGGGCAGACAGCTCCCCTGCCCACTGGCAGCCCTGGCAGCAAGGACAGTGGGGGGGTGGGCAGGGCAGGCTCTAGCACTCTTTCTGCCGCATGCGCAACTCGTGGCGACGCAGGTGGTTGTAGAGGGACTGCACGTAGGTGAAGACGCACTTGGCGTCTGGCTTCTTCCCCATGATCATCATGTCTTCGACCTCCACCAGCGGCACGCAGTCCACCAGCGTCCTGCAGAGGTGAAACCCTCAGGCAAGCTGCCCTGCGTGGGGTCTGGGATGGAACCCCACACTGCCCAGGGCCTGCTGGCATTGGGCACTGCTGCCCTCAGCCCCACGTGGCTCCTGCCTGCCCTCTGGTACCCCCGGTCCTGCCGCTCCTGGCGCTGGGAAGATTATGTGTTGCCTGCCCTGGAGGCTGCCTGTCCTGGGGGGTTTGCCCACCTGCCTGCACCCCTTGCCCCCCCGGTGCTCTCTGCCCCAGCTCTTGGTGGTAGTAGTCACGCCCTGCTCAGGCTGTGCCCACCCCTCTCCTCCTCCAGCGGCTGCTGGTGCCCCCTAGGGAGAGCCCTGCTTGCCTGCACATATCTCTGCAGCCTCAAGCCCCACCGGCTGGTCCAGGGAAAGCAGGGATGGGGGGCGGATCTCTGTCACAAGCTGTCCTTCACTCCTGCTTCAAGCCTTGGCCCTGCTCCTCTGCCTCCTGCCAGTCCGGCTCCCAGCTTTGCCCCAGACTAGAGCTCCGGGCTGCCTGCCCCAGGCCCAGCACTACTGGGGTGGGCACTGCCCTGCTTCAGTGAGTTCAACCTGGTCTGTGCCTACTGCCTCCTCTCCCAGCTCCAGCATGGTGTAGGGGTCTGTGCAGGACCCTGCTCCAGCAGCTACCAGCCTTGGGGGGCCATGGCAGATCAGCCATGGCTGTGCCCCAATCCCCACAGCCTCGGGACTCTACCACTGCTCCTCTGCTGGGGTGCCCACCCTGTCCTCACCACCCATCCAGCTCCCTGGGCCGCTTTGTTCCCAAACTGGGGCTCCCTGGGTGCTCAGGGCAGTTGACAACACGATTATGGGTCACTATGACAACCTAAGGAGTTGTATATACTACCTAAGGAGTCTTTCTGCTGTGCCTTTTGCAATCGGACACGTCTATCTCAGCCACCAGCGTGCTTGCAACAAATGTGGATGGAGCCTTTCCCAAATCTTTGTTCGTGAAGCCTAGCCATGATGATGACAACCAGGCAGGGCATGGAGGTGATCTAGCCACCTCCATCCTCTAGTCTTTTTTCTGGGGGAGTAGGTGTGGGAGAGGTGGGGGGGTGAGCAGAGAAGCAACCCTGCCACTGCTGCAACCCCTGTCCTGGCCCTGCCCAGGCCCCTGCATCCCTGCCAGGCATTGTTCCCTTATGGGAACTGATGGTGCTGGAGCACCCCGGCTGCTGCTGCTGCTGGGGAAAGGGCTGTGCCAGCACTGGGGGCTGAGCTGGCATGAACTGGCAGCCCCCGCTGCTGCCATGGCTGGCTCAGTTGCTCCGGCCCTGGGCCACCCTCCAGCAGGGCTCTGCTGCAAGGATGCACAAGGAGGGTCCAAATCCCATGCTGCCACCCACCACCACAACACCCTCATCTCTGTCCCCCCCTCCCCCTGCTGTAGCCCCACGGTGTGCCTTGACCCTCCAGAACAGCCCCCTCCCTCCCCCCCTCTCTGAGGACAGACCCCCAGCTGCTGCCAGCCCCTGGGGAGCACTAGGGCCCAGGAGATCCCCACCCCAGTCCCCACAGTCCCAGCCTTCCCATGGTGCCTTTGCTACGATGGTCAGTGGGCTCTGAGCCCATGACCTGGCTGGCACCAGCCCCACCTCATGATTTGGCCACCATGGGGATGGGGGGCCCCACTCAGGGCCTTGGAAAAGCCCCTGCCTGGCTCCGGGGGTGATGGTGGAGTAATGGCAGTACACAGAGAGCAGCTCTGCCCTTATAAAGCCATTGTTTGGGCTGCAGTGTGCCAGTGCTGTGCAGAGCCAGGGGAGCCATGGCTCTAGCACCAGACAGGATGCTCCGAGACAGGCACAAACACTGCAGGATAAGGCAGGACCTGAGCCTTGAGTCACACTTTCCAGACTCCTGCTCCTGCCCATATATGAGCAGGCAGCACCTTGGGGCTGGGCATATGCACACTGGGGCAGGGAAAGGAGGCAGCAAGTGCAAGCAGTAATGCTGCAGCAGCCCGGGGGGGTCACCCACATTCAGGCGGCATCACTCAGAGCACAGAGCGGAGTCCCCAGCAGTTCATCCTTGGATCAGGCTCAGCCAGGGGAGGGATCTGTTCTCACTATTGCCCTCCCCAGAGCTGGAGAGTCAAGATCCCTATAGCGTGACACAGTCCCCACTGCCCAACCCCCCATGGGTTCTATTCCAGAAGGCCCAAGGACAGTCTGCCTCTGCCCATCTGCCAGCTGCCTCTGCCCATCTCCTGGCTGCAGTGGGGCCCTGCCTGGCACCACCGGGACTTGCCCCTTGCCCACTGGCATCCCCCAGCCTTGTCCCCAGCCGCGACAGCTGCTTCCCAGCCGAGCCCTGGTGGTGGTGGGGCACGGGCAGATACTTGGAGGGGAAGGTTCTCACCATTGGTCCTTGGGGGGGGTGACAATGGGCTACGACTTTTTGGTTTTTACCAGCCCCTTCTGGACCAGGCAGCGATAGAATTCCTGAATGTATGTGTACACACACTTCCAATCTGGCTCGCGCATCCGGACCATGTCCTCCACGTCCAGCAACTGTGGACAGTCCGCGTGCTTCCTGGGTGCAGGGAGAGAGAGGGGCAAGCCAGTGACCGCAGCCCAGTCAGGGAGGGGAGGAAGAGAAAACAAGAGACACAGATCAGTGCAGTTCCCATCCCCCCAGAAGCTGCTCTGCTCTGGCATGCTCCGGGGGTGCGCGATGCAGGGGCAGGAAGGCTCCGGGCACCCCGTGCCAAGGCCATTCAGTGAGACTGGAGAGCACAAGCAAGGGGAGGGGGAAGGGGCAGCAGGTGAGCGGCGTGGAGAGGCGTGAGGTTCAGAGGGAAGGACAGACAGAGGAGGAGGAGGAGGAGGAGGAGGAGGAGGAGGAGGAGGAGGAGGAGGAGGAGGAGGAGGGGGGGGGGGGGGGGGTGGGGGGGGGGGGGAGGAGGAGGAGGAGGAGGAGGAGGAGGAGGAGTGAGGTGTTGTGGTGCGCCAGGTGCTCGGGGAGCGGGTTCCAGAGTGGAGCGACACTCTATATAGCTCCTATATAGACCTGTTGGGAGGATGGCGGGGCAAGCCCAGCCCTCCTGCCCAGCTCCGCTTGGAACCACGCAGCACAGCCCTGGTGCAGGAAGCTCAGGAGAGGACGCTCACAAGAGCTGGAGGAGGAAGGACGAGAGGCCACTTGGCTTCCAGGCCGGAGAGATGATGGCTCTCTCAAGTCCGTGCACTGGTTCCCCAATTAAGGCAAAAAATCCATTACCAGGAGCGCCAAGAGCCAGGCCTGCAGCTCCCTTCTTGCTCCACCAAACAGCACCACGGCACCCAGGGAGCTCATGGGAGCCCCCAGCTCACCCCATGGCCCCGGACACCAGCCGAATGGGACCCCCACCCCTGTCCCTGCCCCCAGGCAGGGTGCTGAAGGAGAGGAATGGAGGGGTGGGAGAGAGACAGAAGGAAGGAGAGAGGGGCTGGCTGCCAGCCCTCCAGCTGGGCGCACTCCCATCTCTCAGCACCCAGGAAAATCAGAAGCAAAAGGGGAAGGGAGGAGACTAGAGAAGCTGCAACGGTGTTTGAGCCCCTATGACTGTGAAAGGAGGTACCTGGCACGGGCAAACCCTGCTACCCACAGGCTGCAGTCCCAAACCCGGCACCTTGGGATGGGATGTACTGCCTGCAGCCAGGTGGGCTTGGGGTCTGCTGCCTTGCTCTGTGCTTGGGAACCCAGACCGCCACGCCCACCCTCTCACCACACAAGACTGGGCTGCACTGGCCTCTCGTGACTCTGCCCAGGCAGCTGCTGCTTTCCCACCCAGCACTCAACCTTGTTGCATGACATGGGGGGAGCAACACATATGGGCACCCACCTCCAGCACCATCACCCCCGTGTGTCCCCCCTCGCCCCAGCAGCGAGCAGAAGAGGCTGCCCCAAGCCGCCCCAAGCTCATATGATGGCATGAGAGGTACATACTCTGCAGAAGAGAAGGCCACCTCAAAGTTGTGGCGGCGGTTCTGGGGTGTCAGCTTACTGTAGTCAAACGCATCAGGGAAGAAGTTGTGGACCAAGGCACAGAAGGCCATGCCGTCACTCCAGCTGGACGAGAAGTTCTGGATGTCCACATGCTGAGAAGGCAAGAGAGTTACCGAGGGACAGAGTGACCAGCCCTGGGATGGGAAGAGGAGGTGGCACCCACCTCGTAGCCCCGGGTCTTGGCTCTGCACCAGTCCAGCAACATCTGCTTGATACTGTTGGCATTGGGCACGCCGAAGCTGGAGGAGCGCTGCACAGTGGTCTGTGATGCTGCGGGGTTTGGTGAGCTATGGCAGGAGACACGGGGTGTTATCCATGGGTGTTAGCTGTGGGGTGTTATCTGCACAGTGTTCACTGCCCCAGCCAGCATGCCCCAGGCCCAGCCTCACCTCCCGCCTTCCTTCTGCAGCTTCTCCATCATGGCCTTGCGTGCCTGTGAGGTTGAGGTCTTGGGCAGGCTCTGAGCCTTCATTAGCTCCTTCTTCTTCTCTGCCTGACGTCGCTCCAGTGCAGCCAGGCTGCTCTGCCTGGAGGCACTCTCATCTTCACGGTCAAAGACGCTGGGAGAGAGACGAACAATGTGAAGGGGGCTCCAGGTGGCCCAGGGAAGGGCAAGCAGTGGCCTCAGCCCATTGCCAGCCCTGGCACTTCAGAATCCTCCATGTCCCTAGGACAGAAGAGAGTGGCTTAAGGTCCCCAGCTGGCAGACATCTTTGTGCCCATGGAAGGACCCATGAGGATCTCTGAACATAGTGAGTATACCCCGAGGACCAGGAGGCTTTGGGGACACTCTCGCACAGGGAAACCGCAAGCAGATGAGTGACAGAGACCGTATGTGCCTGTCCCCGCAGACACCACCACTCACCTGCCGGTCTTCTTGGACGAGGAGCTGTAGGATGATTTGGTTTGAACAAACGTGCTGTTGCCACCTGCAGAGAGAGAGGAAGAAAAGAGGCCCTGGGCAGGAGCTGAGGCAGGTGGGACTTGGCCTGCCTCAGGGCAGTGATGACTCAGCAGCAGTGATGCCCCAGGGTTATACTCTGACAATGCTGCAGGGAAAGGGCAGGGAAAGCTCTTACTGTCTGATCTCTTCACATAACTTGACTCCATGGTTGTGGTACGGGAGGTCTTGGTGCCATCACCTGCAGAGACAAGGCAACAGGAACAGCTGGGCTGGGAGCAGCAGCACCCACAGAGACCCGCTGCTGTCAAGCACCCTCACACCCATGCAGTGGAATGGGTAGAAGTCCCAGGTGGTAGAGGCATGGCAGGCAGAGGGATGACAGAAGGCACGTGCCCCCCAGGCAGAGCAAAGAGGACGGCGCAAAGCAGCAAAGAGCTGGGGCATCCCTCAGCCCCTGCAGCCACTTGGCTTGAGCAACCTAGTGACTGGGAGAACAGCGGTGTAGGGGACAGGAGACAGGCCAAAGACAAGGCCCTGCTACCCCAAGAGAGTGGGGATCAGGTAGAAAGTCACCAGAGCAGATCCATTAATGATCCCCAGGCAAGCTCTGAGCAAGCCAGAAACTCAGCCCTGCACTACAGTGCTGCTCCCAGAACAGTCAGGCCAGACCCAGGACAAACAGCGAGTGGCCGAGAAGCTGTGCTGGCAGAGCACTGGGAAGGATTCTGCATGGCCACTGAAGGGCCAGCACACTGGTCAGTGAGCCCACTGCCCCCCAGCCTGGCCCGTACTAGACTGGACGAGACGCTCAGTCTTGGTGACGGTGCTGCGAGCTGAGCCGTCAGCTGACTGAGTGCTCTGCGTGGTGGTGGTCTCGGTGGCGTGGCCAGCCCTTCCTGCCATAGCCTGGCTCCTAGCCTCCTGCAGCCGCTGGTCTCGCTCCTTCTCCCGCTGGTCTGCAAACAGAGGTGGGAGACAGCATCAGCAGTGAGAGGCAGGGTGGTGGACACAATCCACACCACACCAGAGGTCCTATGGCTGCTGTTGTCCCACAACTGGCTCATGAGAAAGTATGATGTCTTCAGCCTGGCACAGTCCAGGGGGCAAGAGAGGACCCAGCACGCAGCCTCCAGCTTCCCTGTGGCTGGACAGCCCCACTCTAGCACTCCACACTGCCTCTGCCACTGCTCCGACCCCAGTGGGAGTCACTGTTCCCCAAGTACCTCGCTTGCGCTGGCGCAGCTCCCGCATGGCATTTCGGATCAGCCGTCGCTCCTCAAAGTCTGTTGTCCGATCCAGCTGCAGGAGGGAGAAGTCAACATCACTCCTCTGCCATCAGCTTGGGGTCCCTTTACTTTCCCCCAGGAGCCCGAGCCAGAGGCAGAGGTACCATCTTATCCAGAACATCCTCATCCTCAATCCTGCTCAGCTCCTCGACATTCAGCTTGCTCCTTCTCTCTACCTCCCTCACTTGCACCTTCTCCATGCCGTTGGGCAGCTCTGGCTCCAGCCTCAGAACCTGGGGCTGCTCCACCACCTCCGGCTCCATCTGCAAGGACAGCACAGTGCAGCTGAGCCTCTGCCAGCTCAGCCACCCCACTACTGCTGGTCAGGGTCCAGGCCCCCACCACCCTAACACCTGCTCAGTGCCACAGGCAGTGAGGACTCCGGAGAGGATGTGCCACATGTGGCATAAGAGCTCTCAGCTGGTGGGACACTGCAGGCATCTGCAGTGCCCAAGGCAGGCAGGGCGTCACAACATCCCCCTGTGGCACCCACTGCCCCTGGAGGGCCCAGCAGTCCCTGACCTCCTCCCAGTCTGGCTGCCAAAATATCTCCAGATACTCCCTGTTCCCTGTCAGGAGGTGGCCGGGCCCCCAAGCAGGCAGGGGCTGCCTGGGGTTACAGGCTGGGCAGTGCCTGGTGCCCAGCAGCAGGCAAGGTGCTGGCAAGGCCAGTAAGTGCCGTTAGCAGCACAAGGGATTTCCATGGAATTAAGGGACTTAGTGGAGAGAAGAGCTTGTGCAGGAGATCAAGAGCCTCCCCCGTATCCCTGCCAGGATCCAGGCCAGCTGGGCCCCTGCCTGAACACAGCCAGGACGCCAAGTCCCTTTCAGCATGACCCCCCAGCAATGCACAGCGGGCAGCGGGCCAGGCCCGGAATAGGGCACAGAGGCAGCAGGGATGCTGGAATTGGCCTGGAGCAGACATGCACACACCTGGCTCAATCCTGCATCCTGCAGCCCAGCACCTGGCCCATGGCAAAGCCATCGGCAGGAGCTGACACTGGCCACATGCACCCATGCCACCACCTGTGCCAGGCACTGCGGCAGGGGCAGGACAGCTGCCTGTGGCCGCCCGCCTGGCACGCCAGCAATGCAGGCGCTGCAGCCGTGCCACAGTGAGCCCTAGGGGTGGTAGATCCTCATGGTGCCGTGTCCCTGTGCACCACAGCCACAGTTCCATCTCATGCCTGGGCTCCAGACACCCCTAGGAGCCCCAGGGGCCGGTGCCCCCTCCCACCCCTTGCCGTGGGGCAGGGCTGCCCACACTCACGCTGCTGTTGGTCCGGGAGAGGTGCAGGGCCGATTGTTGGCGCGTGCTGGAGAAAGTGGGTGGATGGGCCACAGGGCCGCTGGGTTCCTCGGTGCCCTCAAAGTGGGCGCAAGGGTCCTGTGCTTCCAGAAAGAGGGTGCTGATGTCCTCCCCAGGGGGCTCCTGCAGCCCTGGTGCCAGCAGGTCGAGGCAGCGCCCCAGGCGCCCTAGCTCTGCCCGCAGCTCCAGGTGCTCCTGCTCCAGTGTCTGCAGTGCCTGCACCAACGCCTGCACCCACTGCAGCGCCCACTGCAGCTGCCCCTCTGCCACCCCCCGGAACGCTGCCAGTTCCCGACGCAGCTCAGCCAGCTTGGCTGTCCCGGCCTGTGCCAGCCCCTCCAAGCTGACCCCCAGCATGGTGGCGGTGCAGGCACTGCAGTGAGCCTCGCTCAGCTGTCTGTTGCCCTTTATAGGGGCGCAGGGCACCCCCCCAGCTGGAGGCCAGCCCACTCCCTGCCTGTGGGCTATTCTGGTCCCAGCAGCCGGGGGTCCCGCACAGGGGTGCTGAGCCAGGCGACACACTTGGCAGTGTGTCCGGCTTTGGGACCAGGTGGCTTGGCAAGGGGAGCTCTGCAAGTGGCCCCCCTGCCCTGGTGGCTGCCAGGGCCAGATACCAGCCTGGAGGCTGTGGGACACAGCAGGGGGAACCAGTCCCAACCACTGCTGTGCTGGTTGAGTGACAGGGCCAACCACTGCTGTGCCCTTTCATCCGAGTGCCCTCCCACTCTGAGCCAGCATCACCCACAGCACACCGACACCTCCAGCCCCAGACTGGCACTGGTGCAAGGGCCTCAGCCACAGCCAGGATTTTTAGAGGTCTCCATAACCCCATGCAGCCTAATGCCTGCGCCACGGGGGGTCCCTGCACGATGGGCATAGGCAGCACCCCACCAGCGAGAGGACACACTGCAGTGGCTACTGCCCCCAGGTCCCTGCAGCCCGCTGGTCCCTCCAACCGAGCCCTACCTGGCAGGGCTGCCAGCACTGCTACCTTCTCCTCCTCCTCCTCCTCCTCTCTGCCTACTGGGAGCACACCTGGCGGCTGCATCTCCCACCAAGCAGCTGATGGGTCTCAGGCCCCCCACCCCTCCAGGCAGCCCCACTAATACCTTAATGAGAGCTGACAGGTGCTCAGGCCAAGTCCGCCCAAGCGCATTAGCATGGGGAAGTGACCCCGCTGCAGGCAGTGAGCTGCCCATAGGTAGGACCTGCCAGCAGGTGTGGGCAGCACCTGAGGGCAACCCTGCCAGGCTGTGGGCACTGCCTGCCTCATGCTGAGGAGGACTGAGCTGAGGACGGGGTGAGCCAGTGGTGTCGCAGCCACCAGCGTGCCATAGGCCACTGGCAGTACCATGGGCCACTGGCAGCGCTGTTCCTGCAGAGGCAGCCAGGCGCACGCGGGGCCATGAGTGAGGCAGAGCTGTATTTGACATCCCAGCTCCTGCCAAGGCGGCGCGTGGGTGCCTCACATTACCCTAGATGGGCAGGAGCAGACAAAAGCACTTGAAGGGCTGCACTCACGGCTGCCTCCTGTGTGCACCCAGCCCCAGAGTGGCCACAGCCCACTCTCCCCCCAAAACACTGCAGAGTGGTTGTTTTTTCAGGTTTTTTTCTAGTCACACCCAAGAATCCCTCCTGGGCCAGGTGGACTGGGACTGCCATGCCACTCTCCACTCAGGATTGTGGAGCACAGGAGCAAGCAAGACCCCAACTCACAGCTCCAGGGTAGGTTAGAGGTCTTCAGGGAGCCCCACCCCAAGGCAGGCTCCCCAGGCCATGGCCAAGGTCCATCCCCAGGAGGAAAACCAGGAGTGGGCAGCAATGGGTTTTTCCCTGAGTTGCTGCCACCCTTAAAGGTGTTTAAAACAGACGGAGACCCAAAAAAGACTCCCAGCTCACTTTGCTCCCCCTCCCCAACTGTGGGTACATGGTGGCACAGTCCAGAGTGCAGGAGACTCATGTGGGGCTGTGCAACCACACACAAAGCCAAGGGTCTCTTGATGGAAAAAAAAACCCAACCAAAACAAAACAAAAGCACCAATCAAAACCAGCCGGAGCCCCCAAGAACATGCTGCCACCCTGCTGGTCCCTGGTCCCCACCCCAAGCCCCAGAGCTGTCAGGTGATGCCCAGGTGGAACACGGCCCCGCAGCACCAAGGCCCCCTGGGCACTTACCTTGGTGACATTGCTGCTGACACTGCTGATGTTGCAGATACTGCTGACACTGCTGGGAATGGTGGTGATGCGGATGGGGGTGCTCCGCAGCCCCAGGGTCACCTCTACAAGGGGAGGAAGAAGCATGTGGGGTCTGCCCCAGCCTGGAAGGCTCAGCTCCATGGCTGGGGATTGGCTCCAGCTGGGCAGCTCTGCTGCCCCACACATCCTGCCCTGACAGCAAGCACGAAGCTCTGGCACAGGGAAAGAGCTCTGGGGACAGGCAAGGGATGGGAAACCAGCCCCCCCTCACAACCCTGGCTTATCCTCCTCCCAAGGAAGGGCACTTTCCACAGTGCTCCAGCTGGATCCAAGACCCCCTGGATGGCCACAGGAGCATCCCGAGCCAGCCACGTCTGCAGGCAAGCAGGGTTGGGGCAGAGCTGGAGAAAACGCAGCACAGCAGTGGAACAGGACACACCAGGACAGCGGGGGCTCCCCTGAGCCAGCAGTTCAGTGGGGACAGAGGATGGGGCAGGGCTGTGGGGGCAGGGCAGGGATTTGGGAATGAGCCCGAGCACAGACATATCAGGACAGTAGGGCTGGGGACAGGCTGCAGGACCAGGTGGTCTCTCTGGACTGAGATGCCCTGAGCAGGCTGAGTGTGCCTGCCAAGGAGTGACGGCTGCCAGGCAAGCTCTGATCTTCTGGCAACACCCGTATTCAGCCTCTGGGCTGTCAGCAGCTGCTGCTGCCCATCAGCACCAGCCTGGCCTAGCACTGCCCGCCTGCCTCCACCTGTGCCTCCACCTGCCCATTAGTGCCCACCATCCTTCAGTGCCTGGCTGTCCACTGGCACCCACCTGCACCACTGCCAAGCTGTGCACATAGTCCCATCGGGAGCATGGTCCCGCAGTGCTTATGGCCCTGCTGGCACCCATTCCACTGTGGTACCCACTTTCCTGACAGATGCCCACCTTTCCCAGTCCCACCTCCCTGAGTGACGCCCACCATGCCCATCACTCCTACAGCGTCTAGCCTCCCGGCACATGCCAGCTGCCCACTTGACCTGTCCTGCTCGCCCCATACCCCATCAGTGCCCACCTGCCCGCTGGCTGCTGGGGGCGGCCGTGATGCGGGGCGCGAGGGGCTGCACACGCCCATCCTTGATCTCGATGGTGAAGAAGGTCTTCATGGCGTCGAGGTGGCGGCCGGCGGGGCGCGGAGCCGGGCGCTGCTCTGCGCCGCCGCTGCCCCGCGCGTTTTGAGCGGGCGCCGGCGGGGCCGTGCGGGGCCCCCGCTGCCATTGGGCGGCCCCGGCCCCGGTCCCGGCCCCGGCCCGCCCCCCCGCACCGCCCGCCCCCGCCGGCCCAAACCGCTGCGCGCGCTCCCGCACCGAGCCGGCGGCGGAGGGCGGCGGGAGTCCGGCGGAGCGTGGCGCTGCGGGGATGGGCGCGGGGTCACCGGGCTGCAGCCGCCCGCGGGTGACCCCACCGGGACTGCGACCCCTGCTTGGTCCCGCACAGTGCCTGCAGCCCTACGGAGTGCCCCCTGCGATGCACGCTGCCCCCCCATCCTGCGGTGCCTGCTGCGATGCATGCTGCCCCCACCCCAGGGTGCCAAACCGTGCATGCAGCCCCCCAGCTTGCCCACGCGATGCACAACACCCCTGACCATGCATGCAGCTCTCCACAGTGCCCACAAGATGCATTACTGCCCCAAAGAGACCCCACTACACATGCATCACCCCCCCGAGATGACTGCAGCCCCTCAAAGTCTCTGCCCCCTCTCCCCACTCCTGCCAGGGCCAGGTGCTTGCGGACATGGATGGGAGGGAGGGAAGGAGGGATGCTGGGCAGGGAGCAAAAGAGCAAGTGGGTGGCCAGCAGCATCCTGCAGCGTCCCGGTACTTTGGAGTTCCATGTCTGCCGAGGCTTCGCCAGGAATCTCCTGCCAGCGGGAAGCAGAGAACAGAGGCAGGCACCACTGAGATCTTACCCGTGGGGCCAGCTGGGCACGAAGAGGAGGGCACCTGCTCCCACTGGTGAGTGTTCAGGCGAGCTGGGGTCCCTACGAGATCTTGGGTGGACACTGGCGCTTGGGAAGAGACAGCACAGATAGGCAAGGAACAGGACAAAGGGAGCAGAGAGTGAGCACAGCACAGGGTGCTGCTGCCATCCCCACAGTACAGCACCCTGGAGTACCCCTCCCTGTCACGCCATACTCCCCAGTGCATAGTGCCAAAATCTGCCAGCACCTGTAGGCTGCCCCACACGCCAGGCATGGGCTCTGCCCTGTAGCGCCAAACTACACTGCAGAGGACGGCAGGATCTGTGCCCAGCAAGGCAGTGGGGGATACCTGGGGTCTGTGCCAAAAGGTCGGGATGACCCCTATCCCTGCCAGGCCCTAGCATTGTCTCTGGAGGGGAGGGTGAGGGAGCTGGGTGGCTCAGCCTTCGAGGGTGCAGGCAGGGTTCTGCCCTGGGGCTGGAGTCAGTGATGTCCATGGAGCTGGGGGTGGGAGGTGAGCTCAGCCTCTCCTCAGAACCCAGGTTTGAGTCCCCTGTGATGCAAGGGGGGGCAGGTCCTGCACACTTCCCTGCACCCTGGGCTGTGCCATGTTGCAGCCTAGCATCTTCCCAGGGTTTCTGCCTTCCCAGGAGCCAGCAGTCCCCAGGGGAGCCTCAGAGGGAGGGGATCTCCGCCTGCAAGGGCAGCTCCAAGAGGAAACCCTGACCCTGGGAGCAGAGAACTGCTTTTTGGGTTTTCTGTTTCCTCCTGGCACAGCCATGGGGATGGTTTTCCCAGCAGTAGGAATAGGGCTGGCCACCGGAATCCCCCAGGGCTGCAGGGAGGCCCCAGAGGGTGCTATGGCCGGGTGAGGGAAGGGGTGGTCAGAGCCAGCCACGCATTGCTCTCAGCCTTATTGGGACAAGGAATGCAAAAGGCCGGGGTTTGCTGCTGCACCGATTCCCTTTCATGGCCCTGTGGCCACCTTGCCAGAGAGGGGGCCTGGTAAACAGCACGCCTGGAACCCAGCTCCCTGGCCAGAGTGGGCACCACCACCACTTGGCTGGGCAGAATCAGCCGAGGGGTGGCCCTTGGCCTGGCCATGTCCTGCACTCACATTCCTGCTCCAGCATGCGTGGGCTGGAGTCACATCGCCAGGGCTGCCTGGGATGTGCATGCTGCAGGGCAGGGGAGAAGGGGGTGGGGGGCTCTGGGGCAGCACTGCCCCCCTGGCAGGGGGCCACAGCCCTCATGTCTCCTCCCCATCCCTCTCAAAGGCTGCACTTACCCACTGGTGGCCTCCCGTGTCTCCCATCTGGCCCCAGTGCCTGGCAGCGCACCCCAACATGGAGCTGTGGGAGGAGAGGGGCAGAGCGCTCAGCTGAGGGTTGCATGCACTCCCCCTATTAAGCTGCCTTCACACACAGACCAGCAGCCCTGGGCAAGGAGGACAGTGGCGGCTGCTACCATTTCTGTACCTGGCTGGCAGCACCAGGCTGGCCCAGGGGTGGCTGCTCCCCTCTAGGGCTTTGCCTCCTGCTGGGCTCCGCAGCAGTGGCTGGGCTGTCCAGGCTCCCTGCCTTCCAGGCTGCCTGTTGCTGCCCCTGGGGCTGGCCCTGCTCCAGCTCCTCAACACCATCCTCAGGCTCCGGATTGGGCTCTGGGGCCGGCTGCAGCTCCAGAAGCACAAGGGTCCCCGACACCACTTCTGTGAGTAAAAAAAGAGGCTCTGCTCAGAGAAGCCTGAAGCTGCCTGCAGTGCATCCCTGCTCCTGCAGTCCCTCCAGGCACCTGGCTCCCCTGCCCACCATTTGGGAGATGTGCCCTCCACTGTTCTGTAGCTGGCTAGGCACAGCTCTGGCCTCGGGCATGCACCCAGACAGGGCTTTGCCATGGGCATCTGTGGGGACTCACCCTGGACACTGGGTTTCTGGGGGTCTCCCGCCTGCTGGCTGCACAGCTCCTGCATCCTGGCTGGGACATGCTCCTGCTCCACCATGTCCTCTCGCTCATGGTCCTGGGGAGAGCAGGGGGTGAGAGCAGAACCAGCCCTGCTCCAGTCCCTGACTGTGTCCCATCCCTGCCACTCAGCCAGGAACATGCAAGCTGTGGCCTCTTCCCATGCCATCCAGGTCCCTGCCTGCATGTTGCTGGGGATGGACCAGCCAGTCCCGGCACAGGGGTCAGTGCAGGAGGCTGGCAGGGAAACAAGTGTCCCCACATGCTGCTGCCTCCAGTGGGCAGGGAGGGGGACACTGTGTCTACTGAAGCAGGGCCCCAAACCCTGCGCACCTTTGAGGCTCCTGGTATTCCTCTGGAGGTTGATCAGCACCAGGGCACAGAGCAATGAGCTGGCACCTGGGTCCCTCTGAGGCAGCTGCCCCAAGCACACCAGTCTTATCACTGTGGATGCCAGCAGGTGGGAGAAGACAGCTCCTGCCCCATGCCCTCAGCCCAGGCACTCCAGGGCTTCATGATCCAGGGAGCACCCAGTTTCACATTAGCCTGTCTCTGCCCATGGCACCTGCAGCTCTGCTTGGCAAATGATGGGATGTTCTGGGCATAGGTCCACACACAGGTGACAGGTGTGTCCCTGAAACACAGGGGAGCAGGGCCAGGGTGTCCTGGTGTCAGCCAGGGAACAGGGTGCCAGTCCTGGCTGTGCCAGTGCCTCTAGCAGCACTGTGGGCTTCCCTTGCCATGACTCCAGGGTAGGGGGGTAGGACCATACCCTCAGGGGACCCAGGTCCCAAGCCCAGGGATGCAAATGGCCTTGGGTTTGGAGTTATCAGCTGGACAGAGTGAGACAGCCCTGCCAGCTGTTCAGAGATGTCCCAGCACAGCCAGGACTGGGGATAGTGTGCCAGCACATCCGGATGGGGAGGCAGACAGTGCTGAAAGGTGGCACAGGGCCACATACCCTCTGCAGCCTCCTGCTATGGCTCTGGGGCAGGTGGAAGGGGAAGCAGGGTTAGATAGAGGCAGATGGGGGAACTCATGCCTTCCTCCCTGGCTGCAGTTATACCCACTGCTTCTTCCCTTCCCACCCTCACCCTCAAAGGGCAACCCCACAAGGTTGGGTGCAGGGATCTCCTACCACCATGCAGTCCCTGCGGGAATCACCTCTGCTGCACTGAAAACCTCTGCCTGTGCCCATTCCCTCCAGCCCTGCCTACCAGCTCATCCTTTCCCCATCCAGAAAGCCCCCAACTTCACTGCAGAATGAACCCTGGCCCCTCGACGGATGGCAGGAACAGTCATCACAGGATGGGAGCTCAATGTTTCTAGCTGTGCAGGGAGACTGCTGCAGGCAGCTGCCACAAGAGAGGCTGTTGCCTCCAAAGAGCCTTGTCCCCAAGAGCCAGAGCAGGGAGGGGTGTACCACGTGCACCACAGGGGCCCCCAGAACCCTGCCAGGCTGCATCCTTGGCAGAAGCCAAGGGGCACCCAGCCCCAGCCCCAGCTCCAGCTCACCACCGCTGGGGTCATGCTGGCATAGCTCAGCCATGTCCTCCCTCTCCCCTGAGACCCCAGGCCCACCTGCCACAGTTTCCTTGGGCAGGCAAGCACAGCTTACCTGGGGCTCTGTGCTCCGGACACACAGGAGCCCCAGGGAAGGGCAAGGTCTTCAGCAAGGTCCTGTCCCCCATAGCACCATACACACTCACCGCCGAAACTTCAGGCTCCTGGGCAGGGGGCTGCTCCGCAGCCCCCCTGTGCCCACTCTCCTCTAGCTCAGCCAGTGCCGGCAGTTCTGCATCGTCCTGACGGCTGCTCTCCCCTCTCCTGGCTGTGCCCAGGGGCTTGGTGCTGCCCTCACCAAGGCTTTCCCCACTCCCAGTAAGGGCTGGTGTTTCAGCATTGTCCCTCTGGATACTTTTCGCATCCCCAGGCACAGTGCGGGGCTCGTTGCCATCCCTCCGGCTGCTCTGCACATTCCCAGCCAGTGTCGCAGCTGGATGGGAGCAAAGGTACTGTTCAGGAAGGAGCTGCCCACGTCCCAGGCTCTCCAGAGTAGCCACCCCAGAACATGGGAATAGTGCTTCACCTTTGATCTCCTCAGCCCGCAGCTTACGGATGGCAGCTCGGATCACCTTGCGCTCCTCATACTCACCCGCTGCCCGCAGCTGCAAGAGGGAAGGACCCGTGAGAAAGGCAGGGTCAGCCCCAGCACAGGGTCCATCCTGGCATGCAGTCTGCCCCAGCACATGGTCACTCACCAGTTTTGTCAGCTCCTCCACGCTGGTGATTGTTTCGAGCTCCTGGGACAAGGCGGCCAGGGCTGCCTGCTGCTCCTCCTCCAGGTGCTGAGACCTGAGCAGGGCAAGTGCGGCAGCCAGACAGAAGCTGGCGTGGGCACTTGGGAGCAAAGTCCCCTCTTGGGCAGCTGGCAGATCCAAGCAATGGGCCCCAACATGTGCCAACCTGCTCGGAGCCAGGCTGCTCCCACCTTCAAGCTCACCCAAATCCGTGCCAGCCACAGTGAGGCCAGGCACTGCAGCCCCCATCTCCCAGGGCAGAGGCAGTGGGTGACCCCAGCTCCCCACTGGACTCACCGTGGCCAGTTCTCCTTGTCGTCCTGTCTGTGGCTGCCGCGCTCTGGGCGGAAGCGCTTGGATGCCAGCGCCTCCTCGTCCCGCTCCAGCTCCTGCCGCTGCAGCTCCCGGATGGCCGAACGGATGCGGCGCCGCTCAGCCAGGTCCAGCGTGGCCTCGAGCTGCATGCACAGGGCAGGGCTCAGCACCGGCTCTGACCACTGAGCCCCTTTCTCAGCCCTGGTGCCACCCTCTGCCGTGCTGCCATGGGCTGCCCACGCTCCAGACAAAGGAGCTGTCTGTCTGTGGTGCCCACGTGCCCAGTGCATGCTGCCCAACGCTGCCAGGCCCTGTGGGGAGCGGGCATGGCCCCCCCGGGGCAGGATGCTGGGATCAGCTGTGGCAAGGAGGGGCTGCCAGGGTGGCACTGAGACCTCCAGCATGTGAGGGGCAAAGAGATGGGCAAGTGAAATGAACACCCACCAGTGGTCCCTGCAGCCCCCAAGGGTTGGTGTCCTGCAGCTCTGCCCCCTCCCAGTGCCATCAGCTCTGGAACGAGCTCTCCCATTCATGCCAGCCCCTTCAGCAGCTGAGGGACAGCAGAGCCTGTTTTCCTCCCATCCCCATGGTCCCCAGGAGGTGTTGGTTGGGAGGGTCCCACCACTCCACCAAGGGCTCCTCCTAGCCCCCTGCAGCCCTCCCCATCCTCATTCAGTGCTAGAGGATGGCAGGTGGCTCTTGGAGCCAAACTCATAAGTGGGATCTGTCCTAAATCAAAGTCCAGTCCTCTGTGTGTGGGAAGCAGGGCCACAACTCCCCTTCAGATGCCCCCGATGAACATCTCACAGGTGCTCCGGGTGCTCCTTAGCCCACCCAAGGCCAGGACCTGGCACCCAGTGTTGTTTTTCCTCTTTCAGTCCAGCCCTGCTACCAGCCCCAGTGCTTTCAGGAGGCCGTGCATAGCCCCCATCATGATGCTGAAGGGGCAGAAGGCAGCCAGATCTGCAGGGAAAAGCCAGACAGGCCTTGCTATCCTCCCACTGACCCGATGCTGGGAACCTGGGAGGTGATTTCCCATGGAACTCATGAAAAATAAACCCCATGACCCATAGCAGCTGCTGTCAGCATCAAGCCTCAGCACGCTGGGAGCAGCCACGGCTATGCCACAGGACAAGAGCATCAGTCCCCTCCCTTCCTGTGCCACAGGCCACTAACAGGCCACCCATCTGGGCTCTCCAGGTTCTGCTGCAGCAGGGATCCAGGGTTGGTCCCTCAGTTGGACCCAAGCTGAGCCACACGGAGGGCCCCAAACCACCACCTGTACACAGACCCCGCTGCAGAGCCCCTGAGAAGCCATGGGCCTTTGCCCTCCCTGCTCAGAGGCTGAAGACCAGGGAGGGTATTCCTATCCTAATGAAGCCAGCAGGCACAGAACAGGCACAGAGATGCCATGTGCCACCCCAGCAGCAGCCAAAACTGTAGTACTGCAACCCCTCAAGGCCCAACCAGGAACATTATCCTTTCCCAGCTGGTAAGATGCTGGTGGCTGGAACCATCAACTCCCAGGGCAGACCAATGCTGAAAACACACATAACTTCTGGGGGAGCTGCCTGGACCAAGGTTGCTCCCTCCCTCCCACTCCAGCAGCCCCTGCCATGCCAGCTGGCAGTGCCATCCCTTCCAGCTGGAGCCTACAGCCCCCTGGGCTCTTATCCAGAGCAGGCATCTCCACCAGCACAAGGGCTGGGAAGAACAGGAGCCACTGCGCCACCAGGGCAGGGGGTTGTTGGAGAGGAAACCAGCCCCTCCATCCTCACGGGCCTCTCATTTCCCATCTGTCCTGGATGGCTGCTGGCACCCCGGGGATGCTGCTGCAACAGGCACACTACTGCCAGGACAAAGGCACTGAGACACAGCCTCTCCCCAGCTTGTCCAACAGCAATGGTGGCCACCCTGGCCAGCCGGGAAGCTCAGCTCTCTTTGCATGGGGCAGCATCGATGGGCTAGGAAGTGGTGGAACCATGTCCAGTTCCAAACAAGGCACTGGAGGTAGAGCTCCAGGGCAAGGACGGCTCTCCCTCCAGCCATCCAAAGGCTTTGAGGACAGGAAAACAGTCCTCAACCGCACACTGTGTGACCAATGCCCTGGCCCTTCCCTAAATAAGCTGCTGGCAGTGAGTGGCTTGGCCCCAGCAGCTGGGTCAGGGCAATAGGGGAGGTGGTGGGGGTGGGGGAAGAAGGAGGGTGTGCACAGCAGCTGCAGAAGCACAGAGTGCCAGGAAGAGGGGGACACAATGGAATACCAGCCCTGCACACCCTAGTGCAGGGAACACACTGGCACCCATGTGTGCTGCGTGACACCCATCTGCCAGCTCTGGGATCTGCCCTGTCCAGGAGGCTCCAGCTGGGACTTGACCTGCACCCTGCTCTCAAAAAGCTTCTGTCCATGGGACGAATGGCAGCAGGGCAGGAGAAAATGCCTTGTGCCATGTCAGCAGGGAGCTGGGATGAGGCAAATGAGTAGCTTTGGTAGCTCCGTGGCGGGGGAAAGCATGCCAGAAACCACAAGGCTGGGAAGGGACCAAGGGGCCCAGTCCTGCCAGCACAGGCAAGCTCAGGGATCGGCACATGCCAGGGCCCCACAGGCCCTACCCAGCCACCAGCAAATTAATGGTTCTGAGCAAACACCCACCTCAGCACACAGAGAGGCTTTGTGAAAGGGCACTGGCATGGCACCCATGAGCTGCTTCCCCACTGGCGCCCAAAACAGCGGCACTCAGAGCCCTGGCACAGCAGGCATCTCTTCCAGGAGGGCTGCCATTAGCCCTGCTCTCTGGAGTGCCTGAGCACACAGCACTTGGGAAGCTGAAGCCTGGCCACAGGGAAACCTCTCTAGGGACAGTAACTGGCCACACTGAGCACCTTCTGCAGCCCCAAGGTTCACTGTCACCCTTGGAAGGAGCCATGGGGAGCGTGGCTGCCTCTGGGCAGAGGAAAGCAGAAAGGACACTGGGTAACAGATGTGGCAGGGATGCAGTGCTCCTCAGGGTCACCGAAGCCTTTGCCAAAGGCTGCTGGGTGTAGGAAGGGGACCTCATGGCAGTGACCTTCATAGCTCAAGCCTGCCCTGCTTCTGCCCCCAAGGGGCTTTGCATCCTCACTAACTAACCAGACTGAGATTTGGAGGGGCTGGGAGAGGGAAGTATGCCCCAGTCCAAGGTCACCAGACCACAGCCTGGAGGTCAGCACAGCCCCGAGCACTCAAACAACCCCCTGTTTCCAGACATCCACCTAAGGGCCACCCTGCAGCAGCACCCACCCCATCCTCCACAGTTCCCTCCCCAGGCTCCTCCAAGCCCTTAGTCACTTTTATGTTGCCCCACAGGTTGATCCCAACTGGCTTCCCTGGGTGTGGGGTAAAAGTGGGCAGCTGGAGAGGGACCCATGTGGATGCCTACGGCAGGAGTTGGGAGGCAAAGGCTCCCCAGCAGCTCCCAGCCCAGCCAGCACAAGGGTGAGGGGGCTGCAGGGATTGGCTCATGTCCCCTATCCTCCTTCTTTCAGTATCCCTGGGGACATCAGATGCTGCTGCCAAGGTGTCACTTGCTGGGAGAAAGGAGGAGAAGCAAGGCAGAGTGGAGGGCTTGTGAGAGCAGAGGAGCAGGGAGAAAGCGATGGGAAAGGGAGTTTTCCCTTATATGGACTAATCCTCTTCCAGCTGAGTGGAGCCAAAAACATAATCAGAAAAAAAAATTCCTTCCCTGCCTCATGTCAGCCCAGAGCAGGCTTTCCCCAGACTGTGCCGCACAGCACAGGGAGACCTGGGTCACGAGCGGGGTAGTCTCAGAAGGCAAAGGCCCAGTGGGTAAAAGAAAAAGCCCTGGGAGAAGCAGTGTTTGCTGCACCTCCCTAGGCTGGCCGGAGACCCGGCACCCATTACCACTCCTGGGGCTCCATTTCAGCCCGGAGACCCCAGCTGGGACATGGCAGAGCTGTAGCATTGGCAGGATGGGGAGAAACCCAAACCACCCATCCCCACACCTCCGGAGGGGTGATTTGTCGACCCCAACATCATCCCACGAGGAGCAGTGGGCTCCTGAGTCCACGAGCCACGGGTAGGTCTACCTGTCGTCACCCAGAGCTGGCTGAGGGTGGCACAGCAGGAGGCTCGGCCGGGGGCAGCCCCCGTGCCGACCTACGGCACAGCTCCCCCTTCCCGCCGGCATCCCGACTCTTTCCTGTTCCCGCAGATTGGCCTTCCTGGCTGACTCAGTTTCCTGCTGTGACCATTCCCCAGCGCTGGCCCGGGCCACCCCGGCTCAGCCTCCGGGGCAGCTAGCACAGCCCAGCTCCGGGCCGGGGATCCCTGGGGCTCCCCGAAGCCGGCCAGGACGTTGTAGGGGCTTCCCGGGGCACTAGCTCCGGCTGAGCAGGTCGCAGCCCAGAACCCTGAGTTCCGCCTTCGGGACACGCGGGCCCTCCTCCCCCATAGCCCATCGGCCGCGGCAGGGCCCCGCTCCGGCTCTGGCTCCCGGGGCAGTGCCCGGCCGGTGCTCTAGTAGCCGCAGCGCAGGAGGGGATGGGATGCCCGGCCATGCGGGCTGAGCCCGGGAGGTGCGCCTGGCACCGCGCCAGCCCCGGGCAGAGCAGGAGCCCGCACCGGGGGAGCGGGGAGCAAGGAACCTAGCCGGCAGCAGGGAACGGTTTCCCGGGATCGGCCAGTCGAGGAGATGGAGCCGGGATAGGCAGTACGCCCGGGCGCGGTGCGAGCAAAGAGCCAAGCGCGGCGAGAGCGGTGGGACCAGAGTCACCGGGGCAGTGCGAGGGCTGTGCTGGAGCTCACCGGGGTTCAGACCCCGGCCAGAGCGGGCCCCTCCGGGTGCTGCCGCCCGGGACCCCCACCGCTTACAGTCACTCCCAGACACGGGCTCCGGAATGCCCCGGCCGAGCGGCAGACCCACGGCCCGCCTGGTCCCGCTCTGCCCGCGCCTGGGACAGCCTACCCCGGCCCGGGGGGCTCAGGGAGCCGAGGTACCCCCAGGCACGCACCGATCGGCCCCCAAAGTCGCCGCGAGCGCGCACCGTGCCCTGGCCCTCCCGCCGCGGGACTCACCAGCTTCCGCAGCGCTCCCTCGTCCATCCCGAGGAGGCTCTCCTGGGACATCCCGCCCGCCGGGCCCGCGCTGCTGCGGCCGGGGCTCAGCGGCGACCGAGACAACAAAGGGCGTCCGGGGCAGCGCGGCCCCGCGCTTGGCTCGGCTGCGCTCCCGCCCGGCCCCGCTCTGTTGCCTCCCGGTCCGGTTCGGCTCGGCTCCGCTCCGTTCCCGCCCGCGCTCCTGGCAGCGCCGCAGCCGCGCTGCTTCCCACCGCTCCGCCCCGCCCCGCCGCCGTCGGCCCGGCCCCGCCCCGCCGGAGCGGAGGGTCCCGGTGCCCGGCCCGGCCCGGCCCGGCCCAGGCCTGTGTGCGGAGCCGAGCCGCCGTGCCATGCCCCGAGGCTCCGGGCTCCCTCCCGTCCCGGTCTCCACGCCGGTGCCGGGGAACTCGGGTCTGGCCCGCCTGCGGTGGCACACCCGCTACGGATGTATCGCTGCCCGCAGAGCGTCCCCTCGCCCAGCCCGGACCGGCTGCAGTCCGGACGCGGGGACTTCCCGCCCACAGAAGCTGCCGCACCCCTGGCTTGTGGGATGCGGGACAAAGAGTCACCAGCACCTCCTGCCCGGGGGTTCACACCAGGGGGTGCCCCTGCATGCTCTGGAGGGCTATTTGAGCTGCTCCCTGATATCCCACAGGATTAATGCCCAGGGCACCCTCAGAGCCCCCCACCTGCCAGGGGTCCCTGGGGATGTGTTGCCCCACAGTGCTCATTCCAACTCAGAAGGTGCTTGTGGTATCCTTGTCCTCCCATCCCAGATGGCAGTGCCAGGACAGACAAGCCCGGGTGTCGGACTGTCAAGGAGGATCCCATGGAACCCCAAGCTGCAGCCCTGCTCGGCAGAGGACAGGCTTTGTTGCACTTAATCTTTCTGGGCAAAGGCCAGAAGTATTCACTGGAGAGGACTAAGCTCCTGCTGTCACCCAGAGGTGCTGTGGGCTCTGCAAAGCAGACAGCTGCCAGGTGCTGCTCCCTGCCCTGACCAGCAGAGACCAAGGGACTTTTCCCGGAGCAGGTCACAGGGATTCAGTTCACTGCTCCTCTGGGAGTTCCCAGCAACCTGTGGAGATGCATGGGATGGAGCAGGACCACATCATCTCCTGACACAGGAAGGACCCAGAAAGGTGAGAAAGATGGGGTGTGGTGGAGATGCCTTGAAGGTCCAGCAGTTTCCATATTGGGAGTGTTGTTGGTTCAGATATCTCACTCCCCACTGTTTGACAGTGTAGGTCTTCAGCTGTACTGGCGTCCCAGAGCCCTCTGCTCCCCTTGGCTCCTCAGCAGCTCTCCACTCTTCAGCCCTGAGCAGCATCAGGCTCCACTGGAGCACGGCAGCCCATTCCCAAGCAACTGCGCTAAAGCCAACCCCCTCCAAGCAATGTGCCCCCCCACACAACGCCACTCTCTGCCAGCCTCAGCAGCAACATCATTTCACTTGCTGGATGAGCCCTGTGCTGCTGGTCTGGGGTCTGCCGTGCCTGCAGCTCTGCTGTCACATAGCCCCTCCAGGAGCAGGCACCAGCACACTCAGAGGTCTGCATCCCCTGCAGCTCTGCTGTCACATGGGAGCAGGCACCGGTACATACCCAGCTCCTGGTCATCAGGCAGCATAGCTGGCAGCAGCTCTCCTGCCTTTGGAGCGTGGGGGGGACCCCACTGCCAACCTTGAGCCAACCCCTTGCCCAGCAGCAGCACTGGGCCTTCCCACACGGAGCACCCAGCCACAGAAGCATGCTGAGCTGTGTGGATAAAGCAGTCTGGGGTGCTGGGTGCACAGCTTTTGGTACTTGCAGTGGCACTCATCTTGCCTCTGCTCCCACAGGTCTCCAATATGCCTGGTTCCATTCCCCCCAGATAGTGACCCTGTCACATCCTCAGTGACCTACTGCCAAGTGCCAGTGCAGCAGGGAGCCCCCAGCCCTGCTGCACCCACACAGCACCCCTGGGGCTCTCCGGGGGTAAGGTGGGATGCAGCCAGTCAAGCACAGACTCCAAGCAGACCTTATTCCACGTGGCGTAGCAAGGAGAGATTTACAAACCCCTCAGAGAGACCAGGGGCTCTGGCTCCAGGCCTGGCTCTGGGAGGACTGCGGGTGGCTGCCCAGTGCATTGGTATGGAGCAGGTGAGTGGGTGATCTCACTGGCTTGCAGCAACCACAGGTGCTCTTGTGTGTTCTGTGCCAGCACAGGGGGGCACATCATCCAGTAGATGGGATGAACCTGCACCAGGCCTGGGTGGGTGCACAGGTCCTAGAGGCTTCCCCAGACAGGGGACCAGTGCAGCAAGGGGAGGAGGGGCAAGAGTCCTTTGGGTTCCCTTTGGAGATGCTAAACATAATGTCAAATACCGATTATGGAATTTTATTGTGCAAGCATGTGTCTGAAACCGGTCAGGACACCTGTCTAACTCAAGGGTAGGGACCTGACTGTAGTGCCAGGCAGGCAGAATTCAATCTCCTTTGGGGCACGGCCCTTCCCCTGGGCACAGCAGCAGAGTGCAGGGCAGACATTACCCTGCTGTCGTGGCAGCACAGACCCACCAGCAGCGCAGGGCCACAGAGGCTGCTGGAGCCTGGCAGCAGGCAGAGAGGAGCATCCTGGGGCCCCTTTCTTCCCTTCTGGAGCTTTCATGGCCTCATGCCTCCTCTCCTGGGAACTTCTGACACCCACAGACCTGTGTCCATCCCACTGTCCCTACACCCAACAGTTTGTGACCGCTCCCGAAGTCACAAGTTGGCTGGACCTAGCTGGCCTCACTCCCAGAGGAAGCCTGGGAGGTGAGACCTGTCACCCTGGGAAGATGCTTGGGCCAGGCACCCGTTCCTGGCTGACAAAAGCAGCTGGATGAGCTCAGGGAGGCGGAGGAGAAACAGGAGGAGAGAAGAAGGAGGATAGCTCTTGGCTTCACTGCACTGTGCTGTTCACTTGTGGCCCACACATGTGAAGCCTGATGCCACCACTCTGTGTGTTGACACCAGGGCAGCTCCTACAGAGCACCATGCTATTATCAACAGTGACATCATGGTGGCTGAGTTTTGGAGCTCTCAAAACTGCTATCCAGGGAAACCCATGGCAGAGAACCCTGGTAGTCACCAGCTTCCTGAGGCTGCAGGGGAAGTTGGTCTCTCTGTGCCTCCTCCTCCTCTCCCTCCTGGGGATTGCAGCCTTGGGTGTGAGGATGTGCGAAGATCCTCCTGGATACTATGTCCCTGGGCACTATGCAGCTTGGTTAGTGCAGAAGCTGGCATGAAGACAGGCCAGAGCAGCAGGACCTGGGGTGGATGTAGGGCTGTCCCCCCTCAGAGTGACAGCTGGACCTGTGCATGGGTGCACCCCACAGAGATGAGGCAGGACAAGGGATGGGTGAAGGGCTGCCCTCAGGTGTGGATGGAGGCTGGGCAAGGGAGAGTGGCCTGGGTGATGCACGGGAAGGTGTCCGTGAAGCAGTGGGACACACAACACAGCCAGAGGTGGGAGGGCAGTAGCATGGCAGCTCTGCTGCAGCTAGATCAGCCACAGGGACCATCTGCCTGCTCAGAAGTAGTGCCACTTGCTTAGGACAGGGCACTTATGCACAAACATGTCCCCATTTCTCAGGCGTGACTCACATCCTTCTTAGAGCCAGGGTAGGATCAGGTGTGATGGATTCCTCATATCCTGCTGCTGGCAGGGGCACTGGGCAGCCTCCTCGCTGCCCTGGGGTGCTGCATCACCAGAAATAGGGAGGAGCTGTGTGATAAGGAAGGTCCTGCTTTTGGGGTGCCACACTACCCAAGGAGGAGCAGTGCCGCTGCGGGTTTTGAGGGCTGCAGTTGACATACCTGGCTGGCCCGGACAGGGGCCAGCACATGCAAAGTACACACTGCTTCCTTATGAGCTAGAAGCAATTTGCCCCATGTGCAGATCTCCTGGGCTGGATCTCTGCTGTGCCTCTCTACCTGCATACCGAAAGAGAATGGGCAGGTCTGTCCATCTGTCTCCAGGCTCTAGTCTGTTGCTCATGCTGCCTGAGGTGTGGGTGCCCCAGCTGAGGCCAGGTGTGTGTGACAGCGGCTGCAGCATGGGCACACTGAGGATCAGGGCACAGCCACTTCTTGCAGTGCCAGGGGCCCAACTGGCACAGGAGCTATGCTGGCAAGTCCCTGGGGGTTCAGCCTGCACAGGGCACACACCCACACTCCTGGTGGAGCCTCTCTAAAGGGTAGGTCCACACACGAGGTGCTGGGTGAGCACCCTCCCTGCCCATGCCCACCCCAGTCCAGCTCACCTCTTGCTGCGGGGCTGCAGCAGTGGGGCACTGAGCACCACCACAGCCTTGGCTGGTAGCAGTTTAAACCCCAGATAAGCGAATTCATTTCCCTCTGCTCACCTTTGGCCTCTGTCCCATGCAGAGTTCCCCAGGGATCCTGTGAAACAAGCACTATCTGTCCCACTGCCTGCCCTGCCACAGGAGACAGCAATGGGGACTGTGTGGACCCCTCTGCCAGGGTCTGTCCTGAGGCACCACATCTACAATGGGAGCCTGGATCTGCTTCTGCTGCAGTGCCTCTGACACTGCCTGTTCCTCCCTGGGCACCTCTTGGTCATGAATGCACCTTGCTTGTGCCCCCAGGAAGGAGTGGAGAGTGAAACACAGTCAGTAACCAGCACTGGGAGGCCAGCAACCCCTGGCGCTGCACAGCACCCTGCAGCACAGGACAAAGCCACAGGCAGGACACTGAGCCTGGAGACAGAGGCTGCTGTGGAGCTAGCATCTGCTCAGGACACGGCCTTCCAGGCTGCAGCCTGCTCCCTGGCAGTGGCCCTGGGGAACTGGAGTGCTTGGAAATGGTCAGGACCTTGGTGTCAGCATCTCCCGAGACCACAGGGCTGCCACCCTGTGAGGAAGAATGGGAACCTCCTTTCTGCCCTGTATGCTGGCATTTCCAGATGGATCTGCCCATGGCAACACGTGTGCCTAGGTTGAGCACATGGCCCCTTGTCCTGCTGCACAGCCCCTGCCACCAGTGCCTGCAGAGGCATTCTGTGGTGTCTGAGCTTCCCACAGAGCTGTGTCCCTGTTCAGCTGGCACTGCTGGGCTGCAGAGTTCCCCTCCAGCCAGCCCAGACCTCCAAATA